TCTGCAGTTTCCTGAAGTCATGTGATCACCTTTTGTAACCTGATAAGCAAAGTCAATAGGGAAGCCAGATTCACTTAACAACCATGTTACTAACTTAAGAACTGCAGTGATTCACTTAACTGAGACAAGAAAGGTCATAAAAAAGTACCAGCAGATATATTTTCTATGTTATGTGCTCATTTATTTAAATAGATTTTAATAGAAAAAAATATCTAAAAAGGCAAAGACATCAGAAGTCGTGTCAATAACAGAAGTGAAACCTCACAAGGAGGGAAAGATCTTGATTAGAAGCAATCCTATAAAAAATTGAAAATAAAAGTAGATAACACACTAGATATATACAGTGCATTCAGAAAGTATTTGGGTCCCCGTGTCAATTTGCAGCTGTATGCTGCAGCCTGGTTTTACAGATAATTGAAATTCATTTTTCTCATTAATCTACATCCAGTATCCCATAATGACAAAATGAAAACAGAATTTTATAAATGCCTGTAAATTTAATAAAAAGAAAAAAATGAAATATCTCATTAGCATAAGTATTCAGACCCTTTGCAATAACATGAAATTTATCTCAGGTATCTCCCATTTGTCTTGATTGTTGCTGACTTATTTCTACACCTTGATTGTCTCCCTATGAAAAATTAAATTGATTGGACATAATTTGGAAAGGAGCACACCTCTTTATAGAATGCCTCACACTGTAGCAGAGCAAAAGCCATGAGGTCAAAGGAGTTGCCTGCAGAGCTCAGAGACAGCATTACAAGGCACAGATCTGGGGAAGGATACAATAACATTTCTGCTACACAGAAAGTTCCTAAGAGCACAATGGCCTCCATAATTTGTCAAATGGAAGACATTTGGCACCACCAAGATTCTTTCAACAGCTGGATGCCCAGTCAAACTGAGCAATTGGGAGAAGAGCCTTAGTAACAGAGGTGACCAAGAACCCGATGGTCACTCTGACTCTAGCTCTAGGGATCCTGTATTGAGATGGAACAGAGTTCATTGCAACCCTCCACCGATCTGGGCTTTATGGCAGAGCGGCTAGATCGGGTGCTGGCAACCCACGGCTGTTTGGGCCCTCTGCTGCGGCTCCCTGTCCCATCACTGGCTGGCCTCACCCTCACCCTCCCCTTCCTTGCTTGGTCTGAGAAGGTAAGGGCAACAGCAGGGGATGGAGAAGCGGCCAGGGCTGATTCTCTAGTGCTTCACTTGCTGGAGCTTCTTCCAGCCCTTGTTGGGGCTAGGCGTGCCTCAGTCACTTGGGGAGATACGCTACCTGCTTTCTGTCCCGAGACACAGGCCTGACCCAGCTGTGACTGACACCAGGCTCACTAACATAAGGGCTGGTGGTGTGGGGATGGGATCTGGGAGGATGGGACAAAGGAAAGTGGGTGGGCCGACGGCGCCTCCCTGCAGCTTTAAGAAGCTGGAGGCAGCCGAAAAGGGGGGCTGACCCCACTGAACCTCACCCACCCACCCTGGGTGTCGGGCTCAGAGAAAGCCGGAGCACCCTCGTCAAAGATGCTCGCCCATCAGAGACAGATACAGAGGGGGAAAGAGATGGAGAGAAATACAGAGAAGAGATGAGGGGGGAGAGATAACAGAGAAAGGGGGAGAGGGAGAGAGATACAGAGACGGGGAGATAAGGAGGGGGAGAGAGACAGAAGGGGGAACAGACAGAGGGGAAAAGATGCAGAGAGAGGGGAAGAAGGGGGAGAGAGAGAAGGGTTTTGTGGTTCCTGGTGTTTTTTAACCAGTTTTCTGCCCTAATGACCGGCTGGGTAGGCGTGGCTGGGGGGGCTATGTGACTAGGTAGGAGTGAGTGACATCAAGCTGGCCATGCCCACTCAGGTTTTGTGGGTCCTGGTGGGTTTTTTTTTCCTGTGGGAAACGGGTCCAAATGGCTCTTTGACCCCTGAGCTAGATGGAAGCCTCTCCTCAGTGCAAAACACATGAAAGCCAGTGGTGGGCTGCTGGGTGGTCGGTGAGGTTCAGGCAAACCCCTAGCTGTGATCTCTGGCTGGGCCCGCCCACCTGCTTGTGCTATGCTTTCCCTAAATAACTAATTTTTCCCCCACCCAGGCTGCCCAGGTGAGTTCCACGCCACCCTGCTGTACTCACTGGAACTGCCTGAGTTGATAAGCTGCCCATTTGATGCTCCATTTCAGCCCCAAAGTGAGGGTGTGCGCTCACGACCAGCGAACCCCTTGTCAACAAAAGTGCAGCCCACCTGTGATGAAAGCCCGCTTGGAGTTAGAAAAAAAAAACACCTGAAAGACACTCAGACTGTGAGGAACAAGGCTATCTTGTCTGCTGAAACCAAGATTAAACTGTTTGGCCTCAATTCTAAACATCTGGAGGAAACAAGGCACGACCTGCCCAATATCACCCCAAAGGTGAAGCATAGTAGTGGCAGCATCATGCTGTGGGAATGTTTTTCAGCAGCAGGGACTGGGAGACTGGTAAGGGTTGAGGGAAAGCTGAATGGAGCAAAGTTCAAGAATATCCTCAATGAAAATCTGTTCCATAGTGCTCAGGACTTCAGAGTGGGCCAAAGGTTCAACATGACAACAAGTACACAATCAAGACAACACAGGAATGGCTTAGGGACAACTCTGTGAATGTTTTAGAGTGGCTCAGCCAGAGCCCTGACTTGAACTCTAATGAACATCTCTGGAGGGACACGAAAATGGCAGTCTACCAACGGTTGCCATCTAACCTCATTGAGCATGAGAGGATTTACAAGGAAGAATGGCAGAAAATCCCCTAATCCAGGTTGCCATGTCACATCCAAAAAGACTTGAGATTGTAATTGATGCCAAGGGTGCTTTAATGAAGTACTGAGTGAAGGGTCTGAATACTTATGCCAACGTGATATTTCAGTTTTTTTCTTTTTAATAGGTTTACAGACATTTCTAAAATTCTATTTTCACTTTGTCATTATGGGGTACTGAATATAAATAAAAAAATGAATTTCAATAACTGTAGAATCAGGCTGTAGGATAACAAAATAAACAAAAGTGAAGGGGGCCTGAATACTTTCTGAATGCACTGTATACTTAAAACCAACTAGGTGGACATAATGTGTTCTGCTTGCCCTTTGGGGAAATGCATTATTTTTAGCTACCATTGCAAATACCATCCTTTGTTCCTTTCAATTTGACATGTAGTTTATGTCTGATAATCAAAACTTGCTGTGAGATTTAAGAGCAGAAGTAACCTTTCAAGTGGACTTTAGCTATTCAATATTTTAAAACAAATATTAGGATCATATTTGGCAGACAGAAAAAATAACTTTTACTTAGTGATGCAGTTATATCAAGTAAAAATTCCCAAAACAAACAAATATGCAGCATTAAAATGGTAAAACTTGGTAAGTGGCACAAATGAATATCTGGATTAGCATTTTTCATTTTAATTGTTGTAGATTACAATTTATTGGAGCTTGAAAGCACATTTTGAATTTAAATTAACTATTTCATAGTAACAATTCCCAGATATGAGGGATTTTCTTTAAAAGCAAGTAAACAGAAATTTAGAGCCATTTTGATATAACCAGTTTGCATCAGACTAGAAATTGGGAGACGGTGAATTCTGGTCCAGTCTTAGGCACAAAACCAGCTGGATGATCACTTTCTCTCTGTCCTGGGAAAAAAGCAATAGCAAACCACTTGTGAAAAAAATCTAACCTAGAAAACTGCAGGGACCTGTCCTGGCAATCTCCAAGAATCAAATGCAACTGTATGAAAAAGATTAATTGAAAGTGATTAATGTGTTCATTAATTAGTTGATGTTAAATCTGGAAATAAGCATTTCAAAAGGAATTATTTATTGAAAGGGAATGATCCCAGCACTAGTCAAAACAGAGTCTAAATGCTCCCAGGCATGCAGTAATAGATAAGGGGAGTTAGGACCCCTCCCCTTATTTAGATGTGTATTTTGTCACACAAAGAACCAACATGTTAATTCCTCCCTCTCCTTCTCTGAAAACGTATATTTTGAAGAGTTCCCAGGGAGTATCTTCCGGAGCTGGAATTTTTATGGTCCCTTCTCCACTTGCTATCTCTTCAAGAGGTGACAAATTTCTGGACATCTGGCTCCAATCCTCTAGTTGTATATCATTTGTAGGTTATACAGATTCAATATAAGATTTAATATATCCAGGTTACATCAAAAAGGATTACTTGCACCAACTCTCTCCCCCCCCCCCCTTCTTCTTCCATTGAAGAATGACAGATACATGGATCTGACATCCTGCCCTTCTCAAAAGTCTGATAGATCCACCTGGAAGACATAAAACATGTGTTACATTTATATTTTAGGATGGTTTGTGAGGGTATTTCAGGTGGAACTTCCGTAGTAATGTGGATGCTTTTACATGTCATTTGGCTACCCACTCATTTTCTGAGGAAGGAAGATGCTTCCAAGCTACTAAATATTGTGTGGATCCACGGTGAGTGCGCGAATCAAGGATATCTTTAATTTCAAAATGTTGTTCCCCATGTACCATGATGGGAGTTGGAGGTGTGGGAAGGGGGAGTCCGAGGTTTGAAGTGATCTCTGGTTTGAGTAGGCTACAGTGAAATACTGGATGAATCTGCCCAAGTGTTTTGGGAAGTAAAAGCTCTACCGTAACAGGATTAATAATTCTGGAGATGGAAAATGACCCAATGAAGTTTGGTCCCAGTTTCTTAGAGGGTTGCAATGATTTTAAGAATTTTGTGGACAAATATACGCGGTCCCCAACTTCGATTGGTTTAGGATTCCAGTGTTTTTTGTCCGCTTGAGCTTTAAAAGCTGCTCTAGCTTCTTGTAAGGCTAGTCTGACTAGCCTTAGCTTGCAAATTATTAATCCACTCCTTAAAGGAAGGAATTTCAGGTTCCTTGGTGGGTAATTCCAGCATGGGGTTGAATTCTTGGCCTGTGGCTACCTGGAATGGGGTGAAACCAGTGCTGCTGTGGATCGAGTTGTTGTATGCTACCTCTGCAAAAGGAAGGAGGTCAGTCCAATTGTCCTGTTGGTAATTAATAAAGCATCTTAAATATTGTTCTAATACACTGTTCGATCTTTCAGTCCCGCTGTTAGTCTGGGGTGATTTGATGATGACAACCCCTGGGTGGAACCTAATAGGTTTAAAAACGCCCACCAACATGCGGATGTGAATTGTACCCCTATCTGAAATAATCGGTTGGGGAGCTCCATGAAGGCGATAAATGTGTATTAAAAACATCTTTGCCAAGGCCTTGGTTGTTGGGATCTTTTGGCAGGGTACAAAATGAACTTGTTTGGAAAAAAAATCAGTTACAACCCAAATGACAGTATTTCCTGCACTTTCAGGGAGCTCCACTATAAAGTCCATAGAGATCTCTTTCCAGGGCGCTGAAGGTTCTGCTTGTAAAGGTTTTACTGTTTGTAAAAGTCCAGGAGATTTTCCTTGTCTTCTTTTTGCAGCAGCACAGATGGGGCAACTAGCAACATAGTTTTCAATGTCCTTTTTGAGAGTTGGCCACCAAAATTGTCTTTTGATGAGGTGCAGGGTTTTTACAAAACCAAAGTGTCCCGCTATGTTTGAGTTGTGGCAACGTTTCATGAGGTCCATCCTCTGGCTGTCAGGGACATAAAGTTTGTTTTCTACACAGGCTAGACCATCGTTGAGTAAGCAAGTGTTTTTGTTAGCCTGGAGCCAGTCGTCCTAAAGTAGTGCCTCCTTAAATATTGAAATCATTGCATTGTCAGTCAGTTATTCTTTCTTGAGCCCAGGTGATTACTTTGGCTGCAAGTTGGGTTGCTTGGATCATGGGTTTTATAACTTCACTCTTTTTGCTGTTGTATTGGGGTGAATGTCAATTCACCAGTTGCTGTGTTAACTACATTGTTTAACACATGGTTACTACACATTATGGCTTCACCCCACAGTGTTTCAGGCAAACTTGAATCAGATAACATAGTGAGAGCCATGGCTTGTAATGTTTGTCCTCTTCGTTCTAGAAATGAGTTATGTTGTGGTCTGTAAGGTGCAGAACGTTTATGCTCAACACCAGACAATTTCAGCATAGTTTGGAATCTTTTGTTAACAAACTCAGTCCCATTATCAGTAACTCAAGTAATTACTTTACTCCTCATTTTTCTCTCAGCAAACCTTAGCCAGTTAAAAAAAATGTTGGAATGTTTCTGTTTTGTTTTTCATGAGATAGCAGAAACCGTACCGTGAGTAATTGTCCATTATACTCAAAATATAGCAGGCACCTCCCAAACTAGGTTTCTTAGGACCAATTATGTCTACAAACACAACCTCTAAAGGTTCTTTGGTCTTAAACCCATTTAGTCTGTTTGCTGGAATAACCTTGCTTTTCTCTTGGCTACAAGCATTACAGTTTAAATACTTGCTACAGGGTTTCAATTTTACTCCCTCTGACAATTCAACAGTTTGTTTGAGCATTTTGAAATTAATGTACCCCAGACGTCTATGCAGTAAATGTATACATTCATCATGTGGCTTAACATTGTTATAAACTGAGTTAGCCATCTTCAACTGGTCATCATGTATCACATATAAATCATTCTCTAATGTAGCAGTAACACTTTTACCCTCTTTCTCTATTATACAGTTATCTCCCCTAAAGGTTACTACATAACCAAGATTAACTAAAGCCCTTACTGATAACAATTTGAATTTTAGTTTAGGTACATATAACATAGTTAAATGTTTGTTTATACAAGAACAATATGCAGTACCTTGACCAGAAGCTTTCATCTTCCATCCATTTGCCAATGATACATGTTGTTTACTCATGGACAACTTTACAAAGCTCTTTCTATCTTTAGTAATGCATTGCAATGCTCCACTATCAACAACCCACAAATCATGGTTTACAGTTGAATTGCTAGACATAGCTAAACTAACATTCTTCTTAGCCTTCTGGTGATTACCAGTACTCTGTCGTTTTCCCTTCTTACAGAATCTAGCTATATGTCCTCTAGCCCCACAAGAAAAACATTTCCTAACAGTATGGGCAGTTGAACACAAATCCTTTTCTTGTGGTTGTTCCTTCCTCAGTTGGTCCCTATCCAGTCGTCTTCTTGCTTCTTCTAACAACCTTCCGGTTATGTCAGTCAATGTCAGTTTATCTTTGGTCAGGACTTCCAGTGAAGATACGTAATCATCATAACTTTCATCCAATGAGGAAAAAATGATGTAAACTTGATGCAGCTCTGAAAATATCAGTTCCTTTTCATGTAGTTCTTGAAAAGTTCTTTTCATGAAGTTCAAATGAGCTAACATATCTCCACCTTTCAGAAGACGTGCTCTAAACTGTTTACATGTAAGATGTATGTGTACACCTACACTGTCACGAACATAAATCCTCTTCAAATTCTCCCAACACTTAGCAGCAGACTCTTCTCCATGAATATGGACTAGCTGCTGGTCACTCAGTGTTAGTCCAATGATACAAAGAGCTCATTCGTTGTTCTGTTTAAAGTCAGCAAGCTTCTTGGCATCGTTCTCATTTTCTGGATCCCAAGCATTTACATCCTGTGGGTCTTGAACTACATTCCATAACCCTTCTCTACATAGAAGTAGTGCACTTCATAGACCAGGAAACATAGTTTGTTCCATCCAACTGGGTTATCAGTGATAGACTTGTTGAAGGGTCTTGTGCCATCTTTACCAGGACAGTAAACCACAATTAAACAGTAAACAGCTGTCTGTATACAGTACTGTGTATTCACACCAACTCTCAGTTATCTGAGCCTGGTCTGGCCTGGGCCCATAATCAGTGTTGAGGTAATTCCGTTAGGAGAATGAGCGCATACAGGGAGATGAAGTGAGAGTGGTGAAGAATAACACAAACAGCACACAGCTACACTGTATAGTAAAATGTAGGTTTTTACTACCAGTAAACGTTTAAGCAAAGTCCAAACAAGCAGTCCAAGTCATTCACAGTTAAAGCTGTCAGTTTTCAGTCCAGGGATAATCCAATAACAAAGTCCAGTATCAAAAACAGTTCAGTAACAGACTTACATCAAATCCAAGAATAACAGTCAATAGGAATGGCAACACTCTGCAGAAACACCAGAACAGGAACAAAACAACCCAGTTTTCTGGCTCCATCTTATGGCCATTTGAGGAACCACACCCAATTACACTTTTAGCATTCCCTTAAAGAGACAGTATTAAAATGTCTATCTTGGTTTATATATTTTCCAACCCAACTATTAGGTGACTTACATTCCTAACAGTCACCATCATCTGGATGCTGCCCCTTCTAGGGCCAGAGTGACAACTCGCACTCAGGCCCCCTGGGTCGGGAAATTCTGCCCGTATTCTTGCATGTAGGTTAGGATTTGCTGCAGAAAAAATCCCAGTTTCTGGGGGTCCCCATCAAATTTTTACCCCTAAGGGTGGGACCTTTCTCTGCAGTTGTATGTCTCTGGGTTGCCTAGGGTTAATCCCCTGCTCTGGGGCTGCAAGGGGTCAGGTACCTGGTATGGCTGCTGGTCCTTCCACTTGTTCCATTGCCCGATCATTCTCAGCTGGATCAGGGGTAACAGCTTGGGTTCTTCCAATTTCTGGTTCCCTCGCTCTCCTACGTTGGCAGCCTGGTCCATCCCTCACATTGAGATCCTCCAGGGCTTCCCTTATGAGGTGATTTATGTACCATTTCAGTCAGTCATCTGCCGGTGGTTCCTCGACCCATTCTTCCTGATTAGATAGGGCCTCCAGCTCCAATTTCCACATGGGTTTATGGTTACCCTGGGTGAGGGATACTCCCTTGGTTCTTCCACCCCAGTTGTCTCTCTTTCCTATGCCTATGGACCACCGGGGCTTTGTGGCATTTTTGCCGGCCACTTCACTGTCTTCGATGGGGTACATAAAGTCAATATCTGGCTGGGTAGTTGTCAAAATTTCTCCCCAGCATTCGACTTCCCCTTGCTCCTTGCTATATTCAGACATTTTTGCAGGGTCCCCTTGGTAGAGTGAAGTTTTTTTTCAAAAAATTATCTCTGGGCTGACCTCTATTGCAGACTCTGCTTTATGTAAGCACTAGACTTTTCCCCTTCAACCGAACAGAATGAACTTCTTGAAATAAGCATTTCAAAAGGAATTCTTTATTGAAAGGGAATGATCCCAGCACTAGTCAAAACAGAGTCTAAATGCTCCCAGGCATGCAGTAATAAATAAGGGGAGTTAGGACCCCTCCCTTTATTTAGATGTGTATTTTGTCAAACAAAGAACCAACATGTTAATTCCCCCCTCTCCTTCTCTGAGAAGAGTTTCTTTTGAAGAGTTTATCTTTTGAAGAGTTCCCAGGGAGTATCTTCTGGAGCTGGAATTTTTATGGTCCCTTCTCCACTTGCTATCTCTTCAAGAGGTGACAAATTTCTGGACATCTGGCTCCAATCCTCCAGTTGTATATCATTTGTAGGTTATACAGATTCAATATAAGATTTAATATATCCAGGTTACATCAAAAAGGATTACTTGTACTAACTCCCCCCCTTCTCCTTCCATTGAAGAATGGCAGATACTCGGATCTGGCAGCAAGCACCACCAGAGGGCAGTAATAGATAAAATTTTAATACGTTATCTTCACACGTAGCCTTGTATATACTTTATAGAATAATTACCCATCTAGCTGTTAAGTCTGTAAGCAATCTTTGTATAAATTATTCTCAGAAATGATAAACAACCAAACTATTCTTTTATTTATGTTTTCAATATTTTACTTGCTCAATATCATACATATTAGTTGCACATTTCTTTTTAGACTGAAATCAATTTTCCACCAGAAAACTATTGCCATTTTTTTCCATATAAATTATTATAGCTCAGATTTCTATATATTGAAGCATGGAACAAAACCATATTAATTGTTTAGATTGACACATTGTATAAAGTTTATTTTTTAGTACAATGTTTGAACAGAGCCACTGAAATTTAAGAATGTATAAACTGTAATGTTGCAGCTAATTCAATAAACTATTATTTTAAAATTCTGATTTAGTACA